TGGTTTAATTACCATTGGAAAATGCTTGTCATTCCTCTGTAGGTTTTGGTTCCCTCTGGACCCTCATTATTTCCTTCACCTGCTCCCCCTACCGACCAAACTGCAGCTCTGCAACTGCATCCTGGCCCATCCTCACCCTTCTGCCCCAACCCTCACCTCCTTGTACCCCCAATATGTTTTTCCCAATAAAAAAAATTAATAAGAATTTAGTCTTAACTGACCATAAAGATTCAGGATTCTGTTTCCCCCCAAACCAAATGAAGGCAAATCATCAATTCAAATTACCATTAAATTTAGTCAATAAATTTTGCTTCATCTTCTTAAAACAGCCCTACTCACCTGCCCATCCACATAGTTAATCAGCTATTTAAATAAACTCAGAAATTTGGAATATTTACCTGGACAGAAAGGACAAAATCCAGAAAATCCTGGTATTTCCTCTTCTGAACATTGTCCTGATTCTTCTCATCCTGGAGAGACTTTTTTCTGTCCTGTACTATCTTTTCTGAGGTAGAATAATTGTTACCCATTACTAAAGCAATAGCAAAGTCAGTTAAATGACAAATCATGGCCCATGAATAACTTCAGATTTTGCCCATTTTTTTAAAGTCAAAATGAATGAACACATTCTGATTAAAGCTTCAAATAATACATAGTAGCTCAAAATCATAGCTTATGTCACTAAACTCATTGTCATGAAGTCAATTCTGACTCATAGCAACCCTACAAGATAAAGTAGAATTTTCGCATTGGGTTTCTGAGGATACAGTCTTTATGGAAGTAGATTGTAACATCTTTCCTCCACAGAGCAGCTGGTAGGTTCAAACTCTCCACTTTTATATTATCAACTGATGGTTTAACCCCTATGCTACCTGGCCTCCTTGGCTTATAGTACTAGGTAGTGGTGGTGGTGTACCATTGAGTCAGAACTGATCCATAACTGACCCTCTGGCAGGTTTTCAGAGGCAGTTATCACACAGGAGGAGACTGCCTATCTTTCTCCTGCAGAACAGCCAATGGACTTGAACCATGTGCCTTTGAGATTGCAGTGCAGCTTGTTGCACTAGGCCATCAGAGGAGGTAATATAAAAAAGGAGATTTCAAATTCAAACGCCAGTAACTAATTATCCTTCTCTTCCTCAATTATCAGGTAGAAAAGTTAGCAAATGAAATGAGGCAAAATGGAAGAGAGGTAAAGAAATTCCAACATACATATAACTGGAGGGCTTAAAATAAAACAGAACAAAAACTTGAATCAGAAGTAATATTTACAAACATAATCAAATAAAACTTCTTGCAAAGATAATTCTTTAATTAGTACATTGAGAGGGACCATTCTATGCCTAAAAAAAACTGAAACGACACCCAACTCTTACACACACATATTTAAGCAAAAGTATGAAAGTACTTTAGACAGTAAACATGGTGGGTGGAAGTCCACAGAAATACCATGAAAAAGACCAAATAACTCTCAAGGATTTGGAGCGTAGGATGTTGTTCTTCTTGTTAGCTGCCATCACGCTGAGTACAACTCATAGCAACTCTACGAATAACCAATCTGAACACTGTCCTACACTGTGCCATCTTCACAATCTCTGACATACTCAAAGACCCTGCTGCAGTCACTGTGTCAACCCACACGGCTGAGGGACTTCTTTTCTTTCATCATCTCTCCATCTTTTCAAACATGATGTCTCTCTCCAAGGAGTAGCATCTCTTAGCACTATGTCCAAAATATGATAGATGGAGCTTTACCATCCTTGCCTCCAAGGAGCACTCTGGCTGCGCCTTCTCCAAAACATACCTATTTTTAATTTTGTAAGTCCATGGGAACTTAATCACTCTTCTCCAACACCACAGTTCAAAGTCATCAATTCTTCACATGTCATTCTTGATAATTTCTCAGATCTCAGATGCATAACAAAGTAAGTGAAAAGATCATGGCCTGAATCAGTTATATCTTTGTCCTCAAACTGACACCATTACTCTTCATTAATTTGGAGAGGTCCCTGGCTGCAGACTTTCCCAGTGTGATATGTTTCCTGATTTCCTGACTGTTGACTTACCCAGTGCAATATATCTCCTGATTTCCTGACTGCTGATACCAACTGTACTGACTGTGGATCCAAGTAAGATGAAGCTGCTGACAGTATCAGTCCTCTCTTTGTCTATCAAAATGTTACCTATCAGTCCAATGGTGAGGACTCCCCCCCACCTTGATGTTGAGATGAAATCCATACTGAAGCATGCAGTGTTTTTCCTTCTTCAAGTGCTTCACATCCCCCACACTTTCAGCAAGCAAAGTTGTGTCATCTGCCTAATGGAAGTTATTGATGAGCCTTCTTCCAATCATGATGCCAAATTTTTCTTCATAAAGTTCAGCTTCTCAAATAATTTTCACAGTATATAGATTAAATAGTTATGGAGAAAGGATACAACATTGATGCCACCTTTCCTAATTTTAAATTATTCAGTATTCCCTTGCTTTGTTCACACAACACCTCCTGGTCTAGGTCTAGGTTTTGCATGAGCACAATCAAGTATTCTGGAGTTCTCATTTGCCTTAATATTAGCCATAATTTATTATGATTAACAAAGTCAAATGTCTTTGCATAGTCCAAAAAACATAAATAGACATTATTCTGGTATTCTTTGCTTTCATCCAGGATCCATCTGCCATCTGCAATCTCTATTACCACAGCCTCTCCTAAGAAGTTGAATGTCTGGCATGATCCTTGGCAGTATTTTTCCTTATATGTAATATTAGTGATATTGTTCAATAATTCTTATGTTCTGTTGGATCATCTTTCTTGGGAATGGGAACAAATAGTGATCTCTTCATAATTTTCAGGAATAATAAAGAAATTTATGTTATAGTAGAGTATAACCCAAAGAAAGAATGTGTACATTTAAAATGTTATAGCAAGCCAAAGTATAGTTAAAGTATAAAGGCTATACAAGTACATTTTTATACTTAGAACTCCTTCCTGAGGAATCTGAAGAGAATGAGCTTCATATAATTAAATGATCCCTTGTTACTGTTAGGTGTCATTGAGTTAACTATGAATCATAGTTACTCCATGAGCAAGAGATCTGAATTTTACTATATCCTGCAACATCTTCACTGTCTCTGATATATTCAAGATGATTGTTACTGTTACCGTGTCAATCCATCTTGTTGGGGATCTTCATCTCTTTCTCTGGCCCTCTATTTTTCCCAGCATGCTGTCCTATTTCAAGGGCTCATCCCTTCTGATAACATGCTCAAGGTATGTGAGATGAAATTTCACCACACTTAATTCTAAGGAGCTGCTTGTGGCCCTTCCTCTAAGACTGATTTGTCTATTCTTTTGGAAGTCCATGAGATATTCAAAGGCATAAATTCTTATACTACCATTATACATTGTTCAACTTTTAGAGACATAGAAAGTATCTGAAAATATCATGGTTTGGATTGGGCACATCTTACTTTTTAAATAGACATCCTTGTTCTTTACCACTTTGGAAAAGTACTTGACAGCAGTTTAACTGAGGTTGGCATTTAACAAATTTAATCCCAAATCTAGGGATAGCAACTTCAGTGTAAGAAAAAGACATAAACACAAACATTACAAGTTAAAATAATGTAACTAAAAATAGGAAGATAAGACATAGGAGAAAATAGTATATGATCATTGATAGTTATATGGATAATAAATGGGAATAAAAAGGTATCATTAAAAAACTGACATGATAGTAACATTTTAAATAATGTGGGAAAAGTATCAAAGATTCCACATAAGAACTAAATAAATATATAAACTTTCCTTAGTATGAAAAGTCAATTATTTATCTTACTTCGATTCACAAGCAATATACATAGTACCAGCAGTCAGGAGAACAGGAGATATATTGTACTGGGAAAGTCTGAAATCAAAACTTCTCTGAGGATTACAGAAGTGCAATGATGCTCTTTTCAAACAGTTGCTATGGTGTTGAGAGCTGCACAATGAATAAGAACAATAGAAGAAACATTGATGCCTTTGATCTGTGGTTTTGGAGAAGAGTACTAATTATCCCATGGACTGTCAAACCAAACAGATTTGTCTTGAAGAAGGTGCATCCACAGTGCTCGTTGGAAGCAAGGATGGAGAAACTGCTAGAAGGACATCATGGTTGGAAATATGGAGGGATTGCAGAAGAGAGGAATACTCTTAACCATATGAATTTACTTGGTCTGCAGCAATGGGCTTGAGTATGTTAGAGATTGTGAAGTTGGTACAAGATAGGACAGTAATCAGATCTGTTGTTCATAGGGTTACTATGAGTAGTACTTCACTTGATGGATCTGAAGACTATGGCCTGGATCACACATACTCCAGACTGACATCATTGCTCTTCAGTATTCTGGAGAGATCTCTGACAGTTGACTTTTCAAGTGCAAATTCTACTACACTGCCATGGTGGTAAAGACAGCATGGTACTGGTACAACGACAGACACATAGATCAATCGAATAGAATTGAGAATCCAGAGATGAGCCCATCTATCTATGGTCAACTGATTTTTAACAAGGAGATGAAATCAGTTAAGTGGGGAAATGACAGCCTTTTTTAACAAATGGTGCTGGAAAAATTGGAAAAGTACCTGCAAAAGACTCAAGCAAGACCCATACCTCATTCCATACACAAAAACCAACTCAAGGTGGATCATGGACTTGGACTAAAACCAATGACTATAAACTTCATTACAGAAAAGCTAGGAACAACTCTAGAAGTCCTAATCCACAACATAAACAGTCTTCCCAGTATCCTGGAAAAGATACAACCAGGAGAACATACAGTAGATGAATGGGATCTTCTAAGACTCAAATCCCTATGCAAATCCAAAAACTTCTTCAACAGGGTAAAAACGGAAGCCACCGACTGGGAAAAAGTATTTGGTAATAACATATCAGATAAGGGACTTATATGCAGAATTTATAAAATACTTGAGCACCACAACAAGATGAATAATCCAATCGAAAAATGGGCACAGGATATGCACAGGCACTTCACCGAAGACGACACTCAGATGGCTAACAAGCACATGAAGAAATGTTCAAAATCCATAGCTCTAAGAGAGATGTAAATCAAAACAACTATGAGATATCATCTCACCCCAGTCAGAACAGCAAAATTTAATAGAATAGCAAGCAACAAATGCTGGTGAGGTTGTGGAAAAACTGGAACCCTTACTCATTGTTGGTGGGAGTGTAAAATGGTGCAACCACTGTGGGATGCAATATGGCGCTTTCTCAAAAAGTTGCAAATAGAGACACCTTTTGACCCAGAAATTCCACTACTGGGAATATACCCCAAAGAGACCATAACTGCCACTCAAGCAGATGTATGCACACCCATGTTTACTGCAGCTTTGCTCACAATAGCAAGGAATTGGAAAGAACCTAAGTGCCCATCAACAAATGAATGGATAGGGAAGCTGTGGTATATTCAAACAATAGAATACTATGCTGCATTGAAAAACAAGGAACTCATGCAATATTATTCAAAACGGTTGACTCTGGAGAACATTATGTTGAGTGAAGTATGCCAGTCACAAAACGAGAAATATTGTATGGTGCCACTGTTGTAAAAGAGGGCTGACCTCGGGGATGGGGGGAGACTGAGAAAGATGGGTTCAAGAATTTATACTGCACTGAAACAGATGAAGGAGAAACTGTTTAAAAGGGATATGTGATTAGGTATTTCTGTCATGACAGGAGTCTAGAGTGATGGCTACATGGTGGAGTGGACCTGGGGAAGGGTTTGTAAAACAATGAAAGAATTTTT